GACACACAGCCGTGTTTTTGTAAAAGGTTTCTCCGGTGTTTGGGCCGTCTCGCCCTTTTGGCTTTCCGACGATCGAAGAGAGCCCTAGAGGCTTCCAAAACCGCCTCAGGACCGCCCAAGAGGCCCCTCAGATGGCCCCAACAGGGCCCCAAGACGGCCCCCGAGGGCCCGAAGGCGGCCTAAGAGGAACCCAAAAGAGCACGAGAACGCCCCACGACGGCCCCAACTGTGGCCCACGAGGAAAGCCCAGACAATTCGAGCTTTCTACTGAAATGGGCCCACGAGGCCCCCCAAAGCACCCCAAGAAACCTCAACAGGCCCCCAAACAACCTCCAAGAGGCCCCCAGGAATCCCCAAGAGGCTTTCCCCAGCGCGCAGCATCCTGCACTGCTAGTGCCAGCGTGCTCCACACCGGTTAGTTGTAAGCACGCGTCCTCCTCCTCGCCCTCCTCTTCCTCCTCCGCATCCTCCTCCTATGGTAGACGTCTGACCAGACCGTGCTCCCCACCGCGCATCTTGCGCGCTGAACCGTGCCCACGCGCTCTGCTCGATGCCGAAGCCCGTTTTCATTGCGACCTGGGGTTTTTCCGCGTAACGACCTCGCTGCCGTCACGGCCCTTGCAGTGCGCCACGCTGCGTGCCCCACCTATCCTGAAACGCCGTAGCTGCCGGAGATCAGGTTTCAAATGGCCTCGTGGGCCACATAGTATATGTACTCCGAGCAGCCCCTCACGGGAAATCCGCTGTCGTAGCACGCTCGGCCCGCCGCCTGGCGGCCACGCACTTTCCAACGTATGAACACGTTTCTGTCGAAATCCACTCGGTCCTTCGTTGCCGCACGCGCGTCACACGCGTTCCTGCCTTTGCGCCGACTGCACGCATTCTCCGCCTCATCGAAGAACATCATGTCCACGACCTCCTGGCCTCTCAGGCACGGGTGGCACTGCGCACACCGAGTTCTTCTCTCCTCAGTGGCACTTCGCCGCTTCCGTCCTGCATCCGATAAGCACTTATTCGTATTCGGATTCCTATCTTTATTATTCTGATTCGTCTTCTTCTTATTCGACCCCACGCGCACGTCGCAACTGACGACCTCGCTGCGCTGCCTTCACTCCTTCTCCGCCTTCTCGAAACGCTGCCCGTCCAACACCTCTTTGCACGAAGAACATTCGTGGCATTCCAAACACTGGGTCGCCAGTTCCCGGCTGCCGCGCTGCCTAGAGCGAGCAAAAAGCAGAAAACACTCTTTCGCCAACGGCCTTCCGCACACGTCGCACTTCACCGGCGCGCGGCCCGCGCGCACCTGCCCGTTGCACACGAGCCTCCCGTAATTCTCTACCCTCTCCTTGCAGACTGCGCACACTTCGCAGTCAACTTGCCGACGAATGGCCTGTCTGCGAACGCGGCGTGGCTGCCCGTGGAAACTGCTGCCCGGCTTCTCCGCTCCGCACACCGTGCATTCAAAGTCGCACTGGTCCCTGCTACAATTGGCACAGCAATACCTTGCAGCTGCCCCTGGCATCCTGAGCGCATCGGCGCCCGAGACGTCCTCGCCGCACGTGGTGCAGAGATGAATCTCGTAGCTGGCAACGAGCGCGCACGCGCTGCACTCGTCACTCCCGTCCACGAACAAGGCTCCGACTTGCAGGTGCACACAAGAGATGCACTGCTTCCGCTGGAAGTCTGCGTGCGACCCCTTGGCCCACTCGCTACACAAGGCGTCCGCGCACGCCTTGCAGTCGTGCCAATGCCCTTGGCCCAGACACATGTACCCGACATCAGTCCGTCGCCGATGCGTGGTCCGAAAGCAGCGACGGGGAACAAGAGATGGCGACGCCAGCGCGCCCACGACCTAAGCTGCGGCTCGGAAATCAATCCCAAAGGAAAAGCAAACAAGTTTCCGCCCCCACATACTTAGAGGAGGAGACAGGAGGAGGAGGAGGAGGGAGAGCAGCAGTAGGAGGAGGAGGAGGATGAGGAGGTCGAGCGGGAGGAAGCGAGGAGTGATGTCAGATGAGTGAAGGAGGCTGATTAAGCGGATCGGCAGATGGAGGAGTGGACTGGCCCCCCAACATGCCCCTCTGCGCCCGCCGCGGCGCCCGCGCCGCATCTCGCCGGCAAGAACGCCGGGAGGCACCGAGGCTTTGCGGCCGCTCCTTGACGGAACAGCTCCGGCGCGAACGCCCGCAACAAGAGCAACCCGCTCGCGGACGTCAGCCGCGACAGGATCGTCAGCCGCGACAGGATCGCGCGCGCTGTCATCGCCTTGGAAGGCCCGACCATATCCAATGCGTCACCGCAGTCCGCCTGCCCAGTCGACAACGTCGCCCCCTGCATCATGAATCATGAGCGCAGTGCTCGCGAAGTCGAGGATCCACGTGAGACCTGTGCGCCACACGTTCGCCCCTGAGGCCGAGTTCCCGCCAGCGCTTCTACAGCGCGCCGTTGGCCGATGCCTGCCCTTTACTTCATCAGTTTAACCTGCCCTGCCCCCGGCCCCGCCCCCTTCGGCCGCGTCCCTCCCGCGCCGCCTGCCGCGGTCGCTCCTTCTCCTTCCCGCTCTCTCCTCTTTCCAGCCACTGTCTCTGCCGTCCCGTCAGTCCCCTTCTCCTCTGACTGGACTGGCGCTTTCGCCGGAAGGCAGTCCTGCAAGGGGGAACCCCCGCGCCCAGCTTCTCGTCCAAGGCTCACGTCGCGCCGCCCAGGCGCAAATACAAACGACGAGGCAGGTAGTTCAGCAAGCGCTCCGACCCTGGCTGGGACACGCGATCAGCAGGGTGCAACTCCCACCCCGCCAACGTGCAGGACAGATGCTTCAAGACGACGACGTTCTTCGTCTTGCAGACCTTCGCCGTCGGTGCCTGCGTAGATAATGCTCATCCCCGGGATGCCGGCTGTCTTCTGGTCGCGCAGCATGAGGAGCTTCCCCAAACTCTTCCGTAGCTGGCCTGGTGCCTTCGCAATCTGCGCTGCATTATCCGGCTTGCCATGGGCGCTGAACCACAAGGCATTCAGCTTCTGCATCTTCGCGAACCCAGCCGCCCTCGAGACCATGGCGTGGAACTGCGGGTCAGTGCTTTTGTCCATGTACGGTGCTGACACAGCAAGATCCTGCACAACGCGCGCGTCCTTCGGCAACGCCAGCCGGCTCCTTCTCTCCCGCTCCCCTCTGCAGGCGGCGCGCTCCATCTCCCGCATGGACTCCCACGTCGCCCCGCGCAGCTTGATTTCTGCCCACGCCGCGGCGGTGAGCACGCTGTGGGCACGGGCGCGACATCTGTCGGAGCCCAGCATGGCTCGGGCGGATCTGCTCATGACTGCGGGGCCCCTTCCCTCCAGGACTCCGTTCCCCCCCCCCCCTCCCCGGGGGAGGGGGGCGCGACGCAGAGCGAACGCCGGAAGCGCGCGGCCTCCTCTGGGGAGCTCGCCCGTGGCCATCGGGGCACGGCGCGGAGGCCGTGGCCGCGAAGATCCTGGAGCAGAAAGGCGCCCCCACCCCCCTGGGGAGGGAAGCGTCGGAGGCTCCTTCATCCTTTCCAAGAGAGGGCGCTTCCAGACGGGCCCCCCGACCCACGGCTGGCACTGGAGAGATAGCGTGAAGCATCGACCTCCGAAAAGCACACTGTCCTCCTCCCTCCTCCCCCTCCTCCTCCTCCACCTCCTCCTTCCTCCGTCCTCCTCCCCTCCTCCTCCTCGCCTCCATCTTCCTCCTCCTCCTCCGCCTCCTCTCACCGACCGCCTGGCTCCACCTCCTCATCCTCCTCCTCCGCTTTCCTCCTCCTCCTCCACCTCCTTCTCATCCTCCTCCTCCTCCTCCGCTTCCTCCTCCTCGCTCCTCCTCCTTGCTCCTTCGCTCCTCGCTCCTCGCTGCTCGCATCGCTCGCTCCTCGCTCCTCGCTCCTGCCCCTGCTCGCTTCCTCTCCTCCTCCTCCTCCTCCTCCTCCTCCTCCACCTTCCGCGTCTTCCTCCTCCTCCTCCTCCTCCTCGCCCACGTCCTCGTCCTCCTCCTCGCTTCTCCTCCTCCTCCTCCTCCTCCTCCTCCTGCTACATCCTACGCCCAGAGGACGCCCTGCTCCGCCTCCTCCTCCCCTCCTCCTCCTCCTCCTCCTCCGCCTCCTCCTCGCTCCTTGCACCTCCGCTCCTCGCTCCTCGCCCTCGCTCCTCGCTCCTCGGCGCCTCGCACCTGCTCCTCCTCCTCCTCCACCTGCCTCCTCCGCCCCTCCTCCTGCTTCCTCCCTCCTCCTCCTCCTCCTCCTCCTACTCCTCCTCTCCTCCTCCGCCTCCTCCTCCTCCTCCGCCTCCTCCTCCCTCCTCCTCCTCCTCTCCATCCCTCCTCCCCCTCCTCCCTCTCCTCCTCCTCCTCCCTCCTCCACCACCTCCTCCTCCCTCCCTGCTCCTCCTCCTCCTCCTCCTCCTCCTCCTCCTCCTCCTCCTCCTCCTCCTCCTCCTCCTCCCTCTGGGGCGATACTCTCGCGAGGGCCCTTCCTATGCACGCTCGTCGCCCTGCGAGGGCCTCGTCGTTCTCCGAGGGAGCCGGCAGCGTGTCATCCGCGGGCCGGCGGCGCCATACTGCACGCCCTATCTTGCTGATGCCAGCCGCAGGGAGGGGCGCCGAAGGTTTGCCCACCCCTCTCCGACAAGCCCCCCGTGGCACGGAAGGAAGACGAGGAGGAGGAGGAGGAAGAGGAGGAGGAGGAGGAGGAGGAGGAGGAGGGGGAGGAGGAGGATGAGAGGAGGAGAGCAGAGGCAGTGAGCAGGAGGAGGCAGAGGAGGGGAGTAGGATGGTGGAGAGGAGGGCGAGGAGGAGGAGGAGGAGGAAAGGATGAGGAGGAGGATGAGGAGGAGGAGGAGGAGGAGAGGAGGAGGAGGAGGAGAAGGAGGAGGAGGTGGTGGAGGAGGGCGAGGAGGAGGGAGGAGGGAGGAGAGCGGCCCTACTTGAAGGGCGCCATGGCCCTTGAGGGAGGGGGAGCGGCCAGGGGGGCACTCCCCCCGAAGGGCGCCTCTAAGGTCGGCTGGACTGCGTCCACCTCCTCGGCCAGCTTCGCCAGGTCGTCGTCCTGCGCCCAGCGGGGCCCCCGTCAGTGCGGAGCCGCGGTCATCTTTGCGCCCCCCGCGGCCCCGCGCCGCAGCCGCTGGAGGGCGGCAGCCGCCCCGACCCAGGCCGCGAATCGCGCGAGTCGCGATCACATCTGTGCGCCCCCGCGGGCGGCCGCCAGCCATCCTGCAGCTGCAGGATCACAGAGGATTTGCTCCTCTTCCTCACTTCTCCTCCTCCTCCTCCTCCGCCTCCCTCCTCCTCCTACGCTCCTCCTGCTTCCGCCTCGTCCTCCTCGCCTCCCGCCTCCTCCTCCTTCCTCCCCTCCTCCTACTACTCCTCCGACTCCTCCTTCTCCTTCCTCGCTCCTCGCTCCTCGCTCCTCGCTCCTCCTTCCTCCTCCTCTCTTCTTCTTCGTCTTCTTTCTTCTTCTTCCTCCTCCTCCTCCTCTCCTTCCCCTCTCATCACATCATCATCATCATCAGCATCACATCATCATCATCATCATCATCATCACACATCATCATCACTCACCACCACCACGCACCACCATCATCATCATCATCATCAATCATAATCACATCCGTCGCATCATCAGCACCCTCATCATTCCCATCATCATCATCATCAACAGCAATCATCATCCATCTTCATCATCATCATCATCACATCATCATCATCATCATCATCATCATCATCATCATCATCATCATCATCATCATCATCATCATCATCCGCCTCTTCCTCCTGCTCCTCTTCCTCCTCCTCCTTCTCCTCCTCCTCCTCCTCCTCCTCCTCCGCCTCGCTCCTCCTCCTCATCCTCCTCTTCTTGGGAGGGAGGGAGGAGGGAGAGAGGGAGGAGGGAGGGAGGGATGCCAGGGTCAGGCAGGGAGGCCGGGGAAGGGGGAGGCTGCAGCGGCGCAACAAGTGACCGCAGGGTGGGGGCAGCGGGGCGCGGGGCAGCGGCGCGCGGCGGGAGCGTTCCTCGCCCTCCACGAGCGGGGCGGGCGGCGGCTTCTCCTGATCGCCCCTCGCCTCGGAGGGGAGGGGGGCTGCCTCCTCGCCCTTTTCCAGTGGGCGAGGAGAGAGGAGGAGAGAGGGAGGAGAGGAGAGGAGAGGAGAGGAGAGGAGAGGAGAGGAGAGGAGAGGAGAGGAGAGGAGAGGAGAGGAGGAGGAGAGGAGAGGAGAGGAGAGGAGAGGCGAGGAGAGGAGAGGCGAGGCGAGGCGAGGCGAGGCGAGGAGGAAGAGGAGGAGGAGGAGGACGAGGAGGAGGACCAGTGTAAACCCAAGTGCCATCAATGATGTTGGGATAAACCCTCCCTCCAAGCTCCCTCTTCATGGGCTCCTACAACGGTTCATCTCCACAGAAGGAACTGCCTCGTCGGAAGACAACCGTTTGAATAGTCTAAAACATGCGAAAAACATTGTTCTCGGGATTTCAACGCCATGGAACAACCTGACTGCTGCGTTTTGACGAGCCTGAACCGCGCCTGAACGCCATTCCTGGGACTTCAACACCGCGAATCAACTTAACTGCTGCGCCCGCGCAATCCTGAATCTTTCCACAACACAGTTTCTGTGCGCGGAGCTAAGGAGAGAACCACATTTTGAAAAGGAAATGCCCTCAATCCGTGAAGATATTGCAAATGTGTAAAACGAATGCCCGCGGCGCCACGGCGAGAACCACATGTTGAAAATCACCCGCCCTCAATCCGTGAAAATCTTGCACATGTTTAAATCGTATGTGCGCGGCGCTAATGCGAGAGCCACATGTTGACAAGAAACTACCCTCGCATTGTGAAACTCTTGCAATGTGTTTCAACGAATGTGCGCGGCGCCAAAGCAAGAGCCACATTTTGAAAACCATGCCTGGTCAGCCCAAAAAACTCGCCTCCGGGTGCGCCAGGGATAAATCATGTGTAGGGGAAAGGAATGGAGGAGGAGGAGGAGGAGGAGGAGGAGGAGGAGGAGGAGGAGGAGGAGGAGGAGAAGGAGGAGGGAGGAGGAGGAGGGGGAGGAGTGGAAGAGGAGGAGGAGGAGGACGAGGAGGAGGGGGAGACGGAGGACTGCGCGCCCAAGAGGAGAGGGAGCAAGGGAGCGAGGGGAGAGACTCCGGGCTTGGGGTCCCGGGCCACTGGGGATGGGGTGGCGCGGCGGCGCGGCGCGCCGGGCTCCTCGTCCTCCCTGCGCCCTGCTTCGGATTATGGCATTGGTACGGCAGGTTCGTGTCGTGCCGACCCCGGCGTTGGTTCCCGACACCGCGCTGGATCGTTCAACCTTGAACGATCGGCCGCTGCCGCAACGTCCGATCGTTCAACATCGACCGATTCTGGGCCGCCGTCGGCGTTCAAAGTTGAACGTCGGCGGCGGGGTCGCCGCCGGTCGACACGACGCGAACCTACCGTATGCGAGTTCTGCCGGCACCTGATTGCTCGCTCCCTTTCGGGGGGGAGCCTGGGCACAGGGTGCGCGGAGCCCTCCATTGCTGTCTGCCGAGGCGGCTCGCGTAGGGGTGTGGCTGGGAAGGGGGGTGCCCCATGTTGCGGGGCATCCTGCTCGTCGTCGGCCTCTTTTCTGGGGGCTCGCCCAAACCCAGCTTGTATAGCACACTTCCCGATGGCACCGAAGCGTGCTCCTTTCACGTCTTCTCAGCGAGACGCTGATATCCTTGACACGTGGGGGTATACCCCCCCGTGCGCACTGACGGGGGCCTGGAAGTGCGGTGGCCACAGTCTCCTCCTCGTCTGCGAGCTGCCCTGCCGGGCCTCTTCACAATGGATTCCGCCCCAGGGTGGCTACAGGGCTGCTCTGGAGCGGCTTTTTGTTTGATACCGTATTGCTGTTCTCGGCCTTCGGCCGAGGGCGTTTAGGCCTTTAGGCAGCCTGTCGCCATCAACAACAACAACAACAACAATCATTTTACCCGAACGCTCAGTGTTCTCCCCAGTGCCAGGGTTTTCTTGCGACACCAGCCAATACCCCCACTTCGTGGGGGGGCCGTTCAAGCTCTACCAAATATCCAAACGACTCTTCGAGACCACCCACACCCAGCTTCCCGCCCTATGACGTTGGGACACTTCACTTCGTGGCGTGCGGACGACCCTGGCTACTACACTGGCGTGGGGTACACACCCACAGAGGTTGATCACATCTGTTACATAGGATGTGGTACACGGTACACGTGAGATGGTACGCAGTGCCAAGATAGTTGGTCACATTTTTGGGGCAAATTCGTGGGGATGCGATTACAGAAGTACATGTGTTACACTGATGTTATACAGTCCCAAGGATGACGCATGCATTGCTCATACACTCATGGCGCTATGATCCTAACTCTCAGTGCCCAACGCGCGCGTGCACAGCCAGACGGAGGGAGAGAAACACATGTATACAAGGTTCGTGACATACGCACGGTCCACCATGTTGTAAACGATCGCATGCACGGTAAGTTCTGAAATTCTACGTATGTACAAGCAGACATGCGAGGGAGAAAGGGAGATGGCCATCGACAGTTCCAATACGGCTCCAAGGCGGAAGAGGGGGAGGAGGAGCAGGACAAGGAGGAAAGGAGAGAAGCGAGAAAGGAAGAACGCAGACGGCGCGGCTCTGGACACAAAGGGGTGCCATACTATCTCCTGCTTTCGCAAACAGGTCCAGTCACACGTAGGGGTATACTCAACCGAATGGTCTTCGCATCCAGAAGCATACTAAAGGCGCGACGCATCGTCGTCTGCGATGGCGCGGAGCGGGCGCGTGGGTGCCCGGCTGCCTGGCTGAGATTTCGAGATTTTTCGGATGAGAAAGTAGTGCGTTTTCATATGTTTTCTGAACATCGCATCTTGAAATTATTGAAAACCCATTGTGTTTGGCAGGATTTCGACATGCGCGCGCGGCGGCCGCGCGCATGTGCACTTCGTCACATTTTTTGCAAGGGATGGTGGCCCTCGCAGGCGCGCAACCGTTGTTGGAGAAGTTCAAAGCACCTGAAGAAGTAGCACGCAAAGACCCTTTTGACAGAAATGTTTAAAAAGTGGTGTGTTTCCTATGAATCCGCAAGAGCGCGCGGAAGGACATTTTGACAATTTTTTCTTAAAAAACCATTGGGGTTTTGATGTTTTTATGTTAAAATCGCTACGAAACCTAAGGTTTTGGAAGGATTTCGTCTTGCGAGCGCGAATGTCCACTTTACCTTATTTTTTGGCAAGGGATTCTTGAAATTTGATCAACTAAGAACAAGAATTTTCATTTTCTATTGTTTTTTGCAAGGGGAAACGAGCGTCAACAAAAAACCGGATCCGGGGGTAATCCACTTTTCTGAAGCTTTCGCAGAAAAATGATGAAAATGTAGCTGCGGCCTAGGTTTTGGGAGGGGGGCGTGCACCAGGGGGTCCAACAATAATAATTCTTTAGAAGTAATAGTGTTCAACAACAACAACAACAACAACAACAACAACAATCATTTTACCCGAACGCTCAGTGTTCTCCCCAGTGCCAGGGTTTTCTTGCGACACCAGCCAATACCCCCACTTCGTGGGGGGGCCGTTCAAGCTCTACCAAATATCCAAAACGACTCTTCGAGACCACCCACACCCAGCTTCCCGCCCTATGACGTTGGGACACTTCACTTCGTGGCGTGCGGACGACCCTGGCTACTACACTGGCGTGGGGTACACACCCACAGAGGTTGATCACATCTGTTACATATGATGTGGTACACTGTACACGTGAGATGGTACGCAGTGCCAAGATAGTTGGTCACATTTTTGGGGCAAATTCGTGGGGATGCGATTACAGAAGTACATGTGTTACACTGATGTTATACAGTCCCAAGGATTACGCATGCATTGCTCATAGACTCATGGCGCTATGATCCTAACTCTCAGTGCCCAACGCGCGCGTGCACAGCCAGACGGAGGGAGAGAAACACATGTATACAAGGTTCGTGACATACGCACGGTCCACCATGTTGTAAACGATCACATGCACGGTAAGTTCTGAAATTATACGCATGTACAAGCAGACATGCGAGGGAGAAAGGGAGATGGCCATCGACAGTTCCAATACGGCTCCAAGGCGGAAGAGGGGGGGGAAGAGCAGGACAAGGAGGAAAGGAGAGAAGCGAGAAAGGAAGAACGCAGACGGCGCGGCTCTGGACACAAAGGGGTGCCATACTTTCTCCTGCTTTCGCAAACAGGTCCAGTCACACGTAGGGGTATACTCAACCGAATGGTCTTCGCATCCAGAAGCATACTAAAGGCGCGACGCATGGGGGCCTCTTGGAGTCCTCTTGAAGCCTCTTGGGACCATCTTGGGCGCCTCTTTGGGCCTCATGGGCGCCTCTTGGGGCCATCTTGCGCGCCTGTTGGGGCCATCTTGGGTTTTAAAGATTCATCAAGAGACCGCGAATGGATTTCGAGATTTTTCGGATGAGAAAGTAGTGCGTTTTCATATGTTATCTGAACATCGCATCTTGAAATTATTGAAAACCCATTGTGTTTGGCAGGATTTCGACATGCGCGCGCGGCGGCCGCGCGCATGTGCACTTCGTCTCATTTTTTGCAAGGGATGTGGCCCTCGCAGGCGCGCAACCGTTGTTGGAGAAGTTCAAAGCACCTGAAGAAGTAGCACGCAAAGACCCTTTTGACAGAAATGTTTAAAAAGTGGTGTGTTTCCTATGAATCCGCAAGAGCGCGCGGAAGGACATTTTGACAATTTTTTCTTAAAAAAAAACCATTGGGTTTTTGATGTTTTTATGTTAAAATCGCTACGAAACCTAAGGTTTTGGAAGGATTTCGTCTTGCGCGCACGAATGTCCACTTTACCTTATTTTTTGCAAGGGATTCTTGCAATTTGATCAAGTAAAAACAAGAATTTTCATTTTCTATTGTTTTTTGCAAGGGAAAACGAGCGTCAACCAAAAACCGGATCCGGAGCTCATCCACTTTTCTGAAGCTTTCGCGAAAAAATGATGAAAATGTAGCTGCGGCCTAGGCGCGGCGCAGAGGTCGCGCACCAGGGGTCCCAACAATAATAAT